ATTAAGTATACGTCGTCCGTAAACTTTCACATTTTCTTCTTCTCTGAAACCACTCAGCCAATTTTAATAAATCTTTGTAAGAATAATGTATTGAAAGTCCTATACAAAAAACCTTCATTTTGTTCCGATTTGTTAAAATAATACCACCGGAGTCAATTTTTGAATTTGGCAGGTCAATTTCTAAAAATCCTCTTCACTGAAACTGCAAAGCTATATGTTTGGAAACTCTATAAGATTAATGATGAGAGATCCCTTTCAACGATTACCATTTACTATTGATAGGTTGCCGATTCTGATCACAGTGGCACATAGTTTCCATTGAAAAACAACGGGAAATGTATTATTCAATCACTTTTTCATTAAAAACTTGCGCAGATTGTCAAGATCTATACCTACATGTACTTTCTAGTTCCACCAAATTTATTCCGGCGATGAATCATTGTTGGAGTAATTGGCTTGAAATAATATGTTTTTTTGGTAGAAACTGTAAACAGTTGAAATGATGAGCAATACACGATCTAGAGCAATGACCAAATAGTTAGCCCTACATTTTTCATATAGATTTGTAAAATGGGCATTTCTCAAAAAAAATGCATTAAATTTCTATTGCTATTTTACGTATAAAATATTGCGTCAGTAGTAGATCTAGAACTTTAAGTGTGGAAGTTGTTTGCGACTTCAGGGAACTTAATTTGGATATGCCGGTTATAAAAAATTGATGTGTTTCGAGTCAAAACTATTTTTGTTACTGTAGGGGGGTGTAGGGTGTGGATCGAACCATAAACAGTTGGGGCAAGTATGGACACACCATTCAAGCTTGATACAGCTCTGAATTTGGATAATGATCAAATATTTGACACAGCATAGATTTCCGATACAGAATGAATGTGGTCTAACATCTTAAAAAAATGAAATTGGACATTTACCTATTATCTGGTCCAATACCCAAAATTTAAATATATAGTTAGATTCAGCATATCAAAGAACCCCAAGAATTCAATTTTTGTTGAAATCAAACAAAGTTTGATTTGGACCCTTTGGACCTTAATGTGAACAAATTTGAAGACGAGGCCCAAAATAAAAAATCTAAATACACGGCTTGATTCGGTATATCAAAGAACCACAATAATTCATTTTTTGATGAAATCGAACAAGGATTAATTTTAGACCCTTTGGACCTCAATTTCGGACCAATTTAAAAACGGGGCCCAAAATCAAAAATCTAATTACACGGTTAGATTCAACATATTAAAGATCCCAAGAATTCAAGACTTTGAATTTAACCCTATTGAAATTGGTCAAGAAATTAAAGGCCCCTACTTCCTTAACGGTTAAGGCCATAACCCCCAAAATTAATCCCAACATTCTTTTTTTAGTATAGAACCTTATGGTACAATTTCATAGAGATCCATACACTTATACACAAGTGATTTTCCTGAAACAAGAAAAATACTTGTTGTTGGCCCCTAATTCCTAAACAGTTAAGACAAAAAAAATCAATCCCAACCTTCCTTTTGTAGTATTGAACCCTGTGGTACAATTTGATAGAGATCCATATACTTATACTCAAGTTATGTTCTGGAAACCAAACGTCTTCGGACGACGACGACATCGCCATACCATTATACGGCTGCAAATTTATAAATATAAAAAAATGAATACCACCTTTCCATTCCAAAATTCAAGGTCCTCATCCCTTCTTTTTGGGGTTATAACTGACTGATCCCTTACAGGAGTCATCACCCTCCCAGTGTCCGATTTTTGCCGATTATTGCGTCTTTTTTTTACTAATATCTTGAGAAAAGTAATATATAACGAGAAACTTGAACAGCTAAAATGATCAGCAAGGCAAAATTTACAAAAAATGATCATACATTTGTATTTGAAATTTGTGTATCAACTTCTTATAGAAGAAACTGCCTCTAAATAGAAAAGACATTTTCAATGGAAACAATCTATTTTATTTGCTCTCCTTCTGAAACAAATAATATCTTTTTCAATATCTGGAATCAAACATTTAAAAAAACATGCATCCCCCCCACCAAAAACAAAAAATGATTGGTCGGTACCTTGGCGCTGTTTTAAGTTCTTGAGTCTGGAGGTGTATATATGAACGGCTTCCATCGAAACCTTTTATGTTGCGGGTTACTGTCTAGTTGAAGCTGTAAAATACATGCGCGAAAACGTAATATAAAGCTGTGCGCAAATGTAACGCACCAAGTTAATCCTATATCTCCTTTCATCCATACCGGGGGTCATCGGTGGCTGAGTAGTCTAAGTAGTATAACTACTGTATCACTAGCCTGTCAACACTTAAGGTGTGAGTTCGAATTACACATGTGGCAGGTAAGCTCGACTCTAATCTTAATTGACTAGGACTGTCAGTTTTACTACCGATGGTCGGTGATTCTCTCTGGGCACTACGGCTTCCTCCACCAATATAAAGTGACCGCCTCGAAATAGCACGATAGTGCTGAAAGTGGCGTAAAACATCAATCAATCAATCAATTATCCATACCGGTTTACTTATGCATAAGTAGAAAATTTTATAGCTATTGTTATGAAATACTTTTAAAAATTATTGTGATCTAATTGGTATAGGAAAAGAATTAAGATAAAGCGACAATTCAGAAAGAGGGAATACATATACCGGTAAAGCTGTCTTTTGCAATAAAAGTTGTTTTATCATATTTTCGCCGCAGCAGGGAAAATTTTTCAACTAGCTCCTGTTTTAATGGGTCTAAATCTTCCTCCGAAATGTTTGAAACGTTGATTTTTTTTATTAAATTGCACTATCTCACTTTTTCTATAAAATGCACTTTCGGAAGCTGATACGAGATTGGAGCTGCTAAATCAGAAACAGGAAACTGGCATTCAAAAAAACAATGCAGAATATCCTCTGGTTATTTGAACTCCAGGTGCTCAGTACACAGTCTAAGACCCATAATAAATCACTTTCACCGTATGTTCATTATTTTAAACCCATCGAATAAACCTAAACTTTGCAATTTATATTTTGACAATTTTCCAATAATATCAGATGTGTTTCTTTCATCTTTAAAACGAGGTACCAACGTGCCATGCAATGTTTATCTCTAAAAACCTCAACCATTTTCCAAACGATAGCTTCAGATTTGAGCCGGGTTTATAATAATTCCGGATAAGCAGATCGGAATCAGTTATGACGTAGACAGTAATCGTTCTAATTGTAATCATGTTCTTTGACCATAACAACGATGAAAGCACATCATATAAGGACGTTTTGACATCATATAATGAAGTAAACCGCACCACATAATATATTGTTACAAGCACATAATATAATGACACACCCACATCATATAAAGATGTCTGCACATAATATAAGGGAAGATGCACATCATATAAGGATATTTGCACATCATATAAATATATTTGCACATCATATAAGGATCTTTGCACATCATATAAGTACATTTGCACATCATATAAGTATATTTGCACATCATATAAGTATGTTTGCACCTCATATAAGTACATTTGCACATCATATAAATATATTTGCACATCATATACAGATATTTGCACATTATATAAATGTGTTTGCACATCATATATTGATGTTTGCACGTCATATAAGTATATTTGCACATCATATAAGTACATTTGCACATCATATAAGTATATTTGCACATCATATAAGTATGTTTGCACATCATATAAGTACATTTGCACATCATATAAGTATATTTGCACATCATATAAGTATATTTGCACATCATATAAAGATATTTGCACATCATATAAGTATGTTTGCACATCAGATAAGTATGTTTGCACATCATATAAGTATATTTGCACATCATATAAGGATGTTTGTACATCATATGAGTATGTTTGCACATCATATAATGACAAGTGCACATCATATAAAGGCAAATGCACATCATAAAATGAAAATGGGCATAATAAGACAGTTTTGGCGTTCCATAGTATAATTATATACAGTTGGCCACAGACCACAATTAATTCCCCCTATTAGTTCTTTATAACGTTTTGTCGCATTAAAAAAGTTTACCTGTTTTTTTTGTCAAATCTTTTGTGTGTGTAATGTACAGTACAAGTCCAAAAATATATCCAAGTTTCAGAAAAATTGAACGTTTACATCTTACAAATTTAGCCAATACACATCCATACCCCTATGGACTAATCGAGAGATGTTCCGAAAACTGTAAATATTACCTTTTTGCATCTGGCCTAATCACTCTTTCCATATCAAAATCAGTTACAATAAAACATCCAAAAATTTATTTCAGCTCTCTTCTTTCATTTCCACCATATAAAAACTAAGAAATGTATGAGAAAAGGAAAGAAAAAAAATAAAGAAAAAATACACTTTAATTAAAGGGAACTACATGTAATTAAGGACAACGAAAAGCGGGATCATTAATTGTGGTCTGGGGCTAGTTTCACTTGTTCATATAGAGTGTACTTCGTTACAATTTTTCTAACGAATTGAAACTTTTTGATTGGCTTTGAAACTTTAGATCTGTATCGTTCTTAACACGAATCTAAAGCATCAAGGAAATTAAAGTTTTTCTTTTTTAAACGGAAACGAGTAAATAAATTCAAATGTAACTACTCGGCCATTTTGGCTACGCCTATAATACTATTGTATGTGTAGCGAGAATGCCCGAGTAGTTACGATTGTATATGTATTTCCTTCCCTCTTAAACACTAGTTTGATGTATGAAGTTATCAGATAAGTTTCAACTTTAAACCGATGTATAACTATAGATTTTATATTGTTCTCATGACTTGATGCGAAAAATCTTTTTCCGTATGAAAAATTATTAACAACATCTACGATGTATATTATCGACAGCTTTTTATGAGATATTCGAGTATTGAAATATCAATTATGTTTTTTATTAAGGTTTTTAATGTTTCTGAAGGTAATTCCAAAAGAAGCAAAGTTTAGTTTTTCAAAGTAAACAAAAATAATTTGCAAATAGATTCGTACATTTCAACAAATCAAAAACCAGGTCCTATGGACCAGATGAATTATTGCGATCACTTGGTGTACTTCATCGATGCCCGTCGTCGTATGCTTTTTAAAAATTTTCTTAAAACTACTGGACTAATTTCAACTACACATGGACTTAATGATCCTTCCGGGAATGTTATATAAATTGTATGTTTTCCGCTCTTCTCAATCAACCAACATGGCCACCATGGCGGAAATAGAACATAAGGGTAAAATTGAAGTAATTGCCTAATATCTAAACACCATAATAGATATAGAATTATATCTATAGAATTATACGCTGATATGTTAACATTATCACAATTGTCAATATAAGGTTCAAATGTATATAGTGTGAACTTTACTTAAGAGTAATTTATTAAAATCAAAATGATGATAAGATCATTATAGTATTTTCAAGGAAAAGGAAAGCATGTGTAAAGATAAGATAGACACTTGTATAAACAGGAAGTAAAACATTCGACTTGAAACGTACACATGATAAAAGTAAAATGGCACAATGTCCAATTGGAAATTGTGAAATTTGTGTTCAAGCAACAGGATCACATTACTGTAAACAATGTCGACAGTACTTTTGTTACAGCTGCAAGACTGCACATCTAAGATTAAAGATTGCACGTAATCATGTATTTGGAAAAAGTTTCGAGGTGGATGTAGAGGATGTAGAGGAACAGCTGAAATGTAATCATGTTGATCGACATGTGTTTATGTGTTTAGATTGCGATTTTGCGTTGTGTAAGGGTTGTCTAGTCGAAAACCACAATGGCCATAGCGTGGACGAAGTTGATAAGATGTTTTCATCCTTGCACTACCAAGCATCTACAACAATGAAAGGAATCTTTAGCGATTTCAAGCGTAAAAGCGGTGACATGTTATCAATGACAACGTCTTATGAGAAGGAGAGCGAAAAGCTTGAGCGAGCAATTTCAAATCAAGGTGCAAAGATAAAGTCTAGTATTGACAAAATGGTTAACGCAATAATTGAAAACGTAAAGAAATCTCGTGAAAACGTGAGAAACCATTATCCTATGTGTTTTCAGGATGCAATTTCAAGTACATTCACACAATGGCTAAAGCAGATAGATGAAATTGGACAGAAAGAAGCAACCGAAACATCTATTCATGAAATTCAAAAACTTCTCAATGACATGAAAGCAATGGAACTTCCTAACCTGCCTGATGTCCCTGCGGTTTCATATTGTGCCCAACCAGTCGACGAAAAAATCATCATGGGTTTACTAGGACGTATCAAATTTTTGTAAGTGATCAGTGATGGTATCAATAATAAATTAACAACTCGTATATTACGTGTGTTAAAGTCAACTATAATCAGTCAGAGAAATGCAAGTCGGAGAAGTATCAAGCTTTCAAGTACGGTTTACCACCCTCTTCAAATTCAGGATTTTACATATATCTAATGATTTATTAAATCTAATATAAATATATGAGAAATATTCATAATATTTGAAATGAAGTTTAATATTATTTAAAAGATATTTGTCATATACTATAAACCTAAAATCATGTTATATGCAGCAAATTATTTTTGATATATTATAAACAAAAAATGGATATAAGATGTATTTAAGATATATGAATAATACCAAATATTACGGATGACAAATGTATTGTGTTAACAGTATTAACCGACAAAGGCATATCTTTAATTATGTATTAAATTCAGTAAACGGTTAAGATCTTATTTCCTTTAAGAAGTGATGAAATCATCATTAAAGTATTCAATTTCCTTCCTTGTAATATAGCTCTCCAAATGTTTCGGTTTTTATACATCCCTGGCTTTCAAACATTCGTCTCGTAGCGTTCCTGATGAAGGTGAATCCAGAAAAGCACTTCGGACGCATGAAATTTAAAAGTGTTGTTTTCATTCTGTTGGTAAAATATAACAACAGTGATGCGTGTTCTTATATATCGGGGTTTGAACAAAATTATAACAGCCAGGTGTACGGTGTGTTTCTTGCGTTTTTAGCTCACCTACCCTTGAAATGTGAGATTTTGCTATCACTTACATAGTAAAAAATCTGACAGAAAAAAAATTTCAGAATGTCAAGATCAAATTTTTTTTCTATTTTCACCAAAAAATATGAGATGACTACATAAGGATTTATGTCCTAACATTTTTTTTTGGCTAATTTTTAACATTTTGCTTATTATATTTAAAAGGATATTAAAGGCAACAGTTCTATACTAGACAGGTAAAGTAAAACTCATCACAGATACTAGGCTTTTAACTTGATACGTCAGACGCGCACTTCGTCTACTAAAAATCCATCAGTTTTGTTGGAATTGAAAAGTTGGAAAGCCAAATCAAATACAAAGATGAATAGCATTAACACCTGAAAATTCGAAAAGTTGTGCCAAAATACGACTAAGGCAATTCACGCCTGGGGGTAAAAAAACTTAAGTGTTTTGAATTTTTTAACATTTTGTATTCAGATAATTTACAGAAAATCTAAAAATGTTAAATGACCGAAACAATCGGATGACTCATTCAGGACTATTTTTGTCTTATCGTCGTGCTTTTATCCTTTATCTCAAACACAATGATAGATAAATAGCAACTGTAAACCAAATAAATGATCAGCTTTACAAACTCTACAAAAATATCAGTATGACCAAATCATTAGATGAGTCCTTAAAGTGTTATTGCCCTTAAATGATGATTGTTATCCACTTTGTGTATTGGATCTCTTTTCTAGTAGATAGAGAGAAACAATAAACAGCAAAAAATAATCAGCAATTCAGGATCAACAAAAAATAGGTTTTGGTCTTCAAGTTCAACAATGTGTTATCTATGAAAAATAGTTTTTATGATATATGAACAAGGCATTCTATCACTCAAATATTTAAAAGAGTATTAACAAACATGCATTTCCCTACAATATCAGCACATTATTTTTGATGTATGTTTTTAAAAACGTATATATAACCTATGATAATTTACAAATATTCATATATTGAAAATGGATGTCCTTTTTCATATATCAAAAGTATTTATTGTATATGTTAATTATTTCAAAATATAAAAATAGTTAATGAAATTATTTATATTTTTCAGATCCTTTTCAAACCCAAACCCAAAATCAAAAGAATTGCTACTGTCACCTTGTGAGTCTGGGTATGGTTTCCGTCTTATCGGTGGAAAGGATTTTAACGACGACATTTATGTGTCAGATGTTGTTACCGGTGGTTCTGCTGCTAAAGCAGGTCTTAAACAGTTAGATAAAATAATCGCAGTGGATGGAAAACAAGTTAAAGGCTCATCTCACCATGAAGTTGCAGAAATGTTTAAGAATGTTGAAGACAACGACGTTGTGTCAATATCAATTGAACCTTTTCACGTGTCAGATGTTTCTTCCAATACTGCAAAGGCAGGTCTTAAACAATTGGATAAAATAATCACAGACGATGGAAAACAAGTTAAAGGCTCATCCCACCATGAAGTTGCAGAAACTATTAAGATTGTTGAGGACAACGACGTTGTGTCAATAAGAACTGAGCCTTTTGAGCAGTAGATTAGTACGTGCAGTATACATTGATTTCTTACATTTTGCAATTGATTGATACGTCACAATTATGCATTGGAAATCTATCGCTGAAAATTAAGAAAAAACAATCAATCTGTTGTGTCTTTTCAATTTTTATTGTTTGATTTGTGAGAACTTTAGGATCTTATAAGATTTATAAATTACAACATAGTCTGCAAATATTGTGTCGAGCAGATCCCAATAAGTAGTTTCAACATACGTAAATTTGTTGTCATTACTCAGCTTCCGTCGTCCGTTAACTTTTACAAAAAATCTCCCCTGAAACTACTCTGCCAAATGCAACCAAACAAAACCATCCTAGGTTTATCTGATTCAAAAATTGTATCCGATGAACTAGACGGCAACCAACATGTCTAAAAATATACCATAAAACAAAATGCAAGTAATCGCTAAAAATCTAGACAACCGTTATAGATTGAGAAAATCTGACGTGCATGAATGTTCAAAATGTCAAGACCTATGTACTACATGTTTTGACAAAACTATCAGATGATTCCTTTTCTGAGTAATTGCCCTTAAATGACGATTTTTACCAATTTTTGGCATATTTTATTTTCTTGAAACTATTAAAGATAGAGAGAAATTTTGAACTGTAAATGATTTACAAGAAAATATTTACAAATAAGCTAGATGACAGAATTCCTTATAGGAGTTATTGCTCTTGAATGATGATGTTTACCCTTTTAGCGTAATTGGCTATAATCTATAAAACTATAATAGATAGTGAGAGACATAAAACAGCAATCATTATCAGAAAAACAAAATCTACAAATATGTCAAACATTGTCAGTTGACTTCGTTTAGGAGTTATTTCGCTTTCAATACAATTTGTAACCGTAATTGCATTTTTGGTGGACACTATAGAAGATAGAGCAAAACTGTAAGCAGTAAAAATGATCAGCAAAGTAAAGAGGCAAGTGGTCAAAATCGGTAGTCGACTCCTTAGTTTTTGTTCTTTAATGACGTTTGTTTGTCTTATTTTTGTACTTTTGTTAAAAAATAGAAGATGAAGAGAATCGGTGAACAGCAAAATGATCAGCTAAAGAAGATCTTATGACAAATTGTATGTCCTAAATTATCAAAAAATAAAATAACCAAAATACCGAACTCCAAGAAAAATTCAATAACAGAAAGTCCCTTACCAAATTGCAAATTTAAAAGCTCAAACGCAATAAACGAATGGAAAACAACTGTCATATTCCTGACCTGGTACAGGCATTTCCTTATGTAGAAAATGTTCGACTTCTTATATGAGTCAATGTTCTTAAATGACAGTGTTTACCTATTTGTTTCGTTTTTGACTATTATTTTGAAAACACTGCAATAGATGCAGGGAAACTTTTAACATTATACTGGATACCCAAACTTCACAAAACTCCTTATAAAGAACGATACATAGCTGGAACATCAAGATGTTTAACTAAACATCTTTCTAAAGTGCTGACTACTATTCTTTCTACAGTAAAATATGGCCTTCAGAAATGTTGTGATGAGATATATTCAACCAGTGGTGTCAATCAGATGTGGATTCTTAAAAATTCTTAAGATCTACTGCTAAATCTTAGATCACAATCTCTGCAATTTGCAGCAACATTAAGACTTTTGATTTTTCTACGCTTTACACTACTCACTGGGGTAAAGCTGATGACCTTAATTCGATTCACGTTCATCCCAAGATGGCGGACGCAGAATTAGGTCAGAATCGGTATTGCCTGTTTAAGAGTTTCTATGATATATTCTATATAAAGTATACATTGGTATGATATAGATTTATAAAAAGTGCACACGGAAATCACAAATTACTACCGAGAAATGTATATGAAACAGGAAATTCGATTTGAAAAAATCTCTAAGATGACCGTAATTCATCATCATTATTTTTTTCAAGATGATCGTGACATATAACAAGGATGACCGTGATTCCATAATCCGAGCAACAGATGATGTTCAGTTTGTCTCAAAAGGGGCTCGGTTAGCGGATATAAATATGTTTAATTAATGTCTTTTTTATTTTTTGCCGTATTTTCAGTACAGGACATAGATAGTAAATTGCATATTGCTAGTCAACAATGAAATATTAATAACAATATTAAAATTTTAATACAAATTGACAAAGATACGACAAAAATTAAAAAGAAATGATTAAACATATTTATAACCGAACTCATGTGTATGTTTCCACAAACTTTGTCTTGATATATGAATAACATTTTTTTACACAATTTGACAAGGTTCCTCATTGTAATACGCTATTCGTACAAGCTTTTCCAAAGATCTAAGGGGTAGACTAAATTATAAATTAGGTAAGATTTTGCCGGAGCTCACCCTCATTAGTTTGATCGTAGTTTTTTTTAAAACATTTTCTGTTAATTTATAAACATAAACATAGATATAAATAGATAGCAAACTTGTGTAATTGCATTTTTCTAGGTCTGTTTGATTTTATATTATAGGTTAACACAATATGTTAATAATCGTTTTTAAGAGTTTTAGTAGATGGAATCAGTCGACCAATTGATTTACCCTTGTTTCACTTCCAATTTCGACATTCTTTTCCTTTTAATAGCTGAACATGTCTAGTTCATGCGTACCCCATCTCTAGCTAAGGGGTTCAATTGAAGTTCACATGAATACGGATTTAATGAAGTCGAATTATTCACTTGGAAGTGAATAATTCATTAACGATGTCTCTTTGCTTATTTTGCAAAACTGAATCAAACTGGCTGCTAAAATCGAATTATTATTTCACTATTTCACTTTCATTAATGATTGAACAAAAAAAAAATCGTGTTTTATTTTTTCTATATCTCGTAGCTAATGCCCCTTAAATATTTCATTGAAATAATTCTTACATGTTTGATGTACTTTTCAAATAATTTAATTCTCTATAAATCAAGATGCGAATAGCATGCAATGGATCACGACAAATGAACAGCAATCAATTATTATTCCTTTTCAGAAAGAAAACGATTATTTGTTTTTAAAAGATTTGTTCTATTTAATTGAGATATCATTACTTTTTAAAGATATATCGTTGAACAGTATTGATGGTATATATAATTAAATAAACCCAAGTTTCTTGAATTTTTTTAAATATTTTGTGTCTGGGCACTTACAGATATGAAGACACGAACCATTCATAATTTTAGCAATTTAATTTTTTTGCTATCAATTGTTCAGTATCACTCTGAGGATGTAAACTTCAAGATTTAAGTCATTGCAAAATTTATGACTCACTCTATAGGTTTTCTATTATGAACCTTTTTTTCATACATGTCATAGTGAAAGTGCCCGAGACAGATTCATTTAGGAGTTATGTTCTATTGGTATTTTCATCCTCGGCAATTGACATTGTTCTTGCAAAGTACATTTCTTGGTAAAACTCCAGTGGGGGGCTAGCAGATTTTTCATCAAAATTTTCTGACCTCGATAAAGTTGAAAATAAATATTCTGGCTTAACTTCCTAGAAAAATATTCTTACCACCATGTATATTTTTTAGTAAAAAAATAAGAAAAATAAAGAATCTTGCTCTAAAGTGGTTGAAATAAATTTTCTGACCTCCAAAATTTTTAAAATAAATATTCTGACCCGATCAAATCTGCCCGGCCCTCACCTCAGAATCAAATGATCGTTCCCTTACCAGAAAAAGCTTGCAAAATTTCAAAATTTAATTGTTCGGGAAATTCATGCATCAACCCTGAACAGACCACAGCTTTGTTATTTAGCCAGACTATAATTTGAAATCATCTTGATTTTATATGGAAATGTACTTTAAGTAGTCAAAGGGTATAACATTTGCAACGTGCTCAGTGATAAACCTTCTGACTACCTTCAAATGTTGTTTTTTGGTTCATTATTAATGAGTTTTCATTTGTTTCGTTTGTTTAGAAATAAAATAGTCCATAATTGATAATTCTGATGAAACTAAATAATATAATTGATTATTTATAACATTCATTAAAGGATCAAATCAAATTACTAGTTTTCTTTTTTTTTTCTTTATAAATTACGGTCATCTTTTACCAATTACGATCATCCCCGTTTTGAATCGCTGGTACTGTTTCGGTCATCTTAGCGATTTTTTCAAATCGAATTTCCTGTTGCATATACATTTCTTGGTAGTAATTTGTATTTAAAATAACCCATATTTCAGTCAGTACTTACATCTCATATATCCCAGTGAACTTGAAATTAAGGATACTACTGATACTAGTAGGACTGCTTCATACCTTGATCTATTCCTCAATATTGACACAGATAGACGACTTCACCCTAAAATCTATGACAAACGGGATGATTTCAACTTCCCAATTATCAATTTCCAATTTCTCAGTAGTAGCATACTCTCTGCCCCATCGTATGGTGTTTACATATCTCAGTTGATACTTTGTGCTCGTGCATGTTCACACTATACGGACTTCATATACAGGAGTGTGCTCCTTACGCAGAAACTGCTCCAACAGAGTTATGAGGAGCAAAGATTAAAAATGACACTCCGTAATTTTATGGCCACCATCACGAATTGGTTGATCTAAACGATGTGTCTGTGTCTAAACTAACTAACGACATGTTTACCATGTCTTAGATTGTGGTTTACCATCTTCGTCGTCTGGTCTGCTAAGTACCGAACGTGACCTATTCCCGAATATGACTGTTTTGCCGGGTGTGAATTCTCATTGCTATACGACGTGTCTCGGTATTTATACACCCAACATCCATGTATTTAGTTATGATGTTTTTTTTTGTAAGTCTGGTTGGATATTGTGTTATGTCTTATCGTTTGTGGTTTGAATTCTATTTTTATTTTCTATATGTATGTAAAAGTTAAGATAATTAATCAGCTATTTCATTTATATGAATTTTGGTTTAAAGCAACTACATGCCGAGGATTTTTGTGTATACACAGTTTTGATTTAGAAGAAAACCCGACATAGTTAGAAATTACAAATAATTACACCATTACAAACAGAATTCCATTTTAATATTCTTGGCATGGTTAGAAAATACATAAAATAACTCCATTAAAAACTCAATCCCAATTTTATATTCTATTTTTAGAAATTTACCTGTGATAAAAAAAACGTCACAAAAAATACGTCACTTTTTGTGGCGTTGATACATTCGTGTGACACACAGTTTATGATTCTATTTTGGTGTCCTGGTGCACTGTCGTAAATTCATGGGAGTTGACCGTTGT